ACGCGCCTGGGAGAGAAGCACTGGGATCTCTTGGAGCCCTGCCTAAGCAGTCCTTGATGCCTTCAGTCCCCTGCGTAAATGTAAATATTCTATATATGTGTGAATGTGTTTTATTTACTTTGATTTCATTTAGCTTTTATCTATTATTTCATTTTTTGTACGCAGGCATATTAATTTACTTATTTTATTTTTCTATATTTCTTTTTTTTATTAACTCTATCTTAGTTATTATTTGTTTGTACATATTGTGTGAATGATTAATGTAGCCTTAATATTAATGACATTTAATGTGGCATAATGTATTAATGTTAAAAAAATATTAAAAATAAAGTAGTAAACATTAATTTAATACTTTTATAAAATGTTTATTTTGAATCGGAATCCTATTTCTGGCTCTGGTTAGAAGCATTGGTGTTCAAAAACAAATATTAGCTGTTCGAAGCACAGGTATGTATTAGAAATGTACTATTATTTCAAAAGCAATGACATCCGCTAGACCTGAATTTTAACCATATCATCACTGTATTGTAAAAGTATGACCAAATAGGTAGTGCCCGTTGTTAACATCTGAAACAAAACAAATTAAAAAATAAAGTTTTACATAATTTATATTAAATTATAATTTAAAAAATAAATAAACTCTGTACTACAGATCCTCACTTAACTTACGAAACCAGCGACTGATCTACAACACCATACTTAGACTAATTTTGACACACGGAGCAGAACTTTGGGGATCGACAAAGCAAACACGCATCAATAAAATACAAACAACATAATAAAAAATTCTAAGAAAAATTGTCAACGCACCTTGGTACATTTATGTTATCTGTTATCTGATCGATGCAGACCAGAAAGAAAATGGCCAAGGGACCTACTCCTACAATAATAACAAAATTATGTTAATCAAGAATACTCGCAGTTAATGCCTAATTCATCAAATTCGCTAGTTACGCTGCACTGAAGGTGCGAATGGCTTCGTATCTTAAAATAAAATAAAAAATAAAGGAAATTGCGCTAAAAATCAAATAAAATGAATAAAAATATCTTGATCAGTTACGTTTTTATCTTTAAAAATCAATTGTTCTCAGTTCCGGGCACATTAGACATTTGGCGTCCCCGGGGAATGACGTAGTCTCCCCCTTCCTAAAAAATATATTTATTTCTTAAGTTGTTTTATACTATGTAATATATGATTGTCCTCCGGTCTCTCCTTCCTCGCCATTAGGGCTATACGGAGAACCAGGGAGTGGAGGCGGGGACCCCCGCCTTTAAAAGACCCCCCGCCACCGGGACGCGAACTCGTGACTATTTTATATCAATTCTCTCATATAACAGGTTGCCGGGCAACGGCGGTGCTGTGCACAAACTTCAGGGCGTTCGGCCACCCCGGCCAATATTTGAATTTAATTTCATTCGAAATTTCTCTAATTCAGTTGCTTTGACAATCGGTTAAAATTACTTATTTTAATACGTTTTTGTGACGAACGGCCATCTTGGTCGGCGCCCCGGGATTATTGTCACGGATTCCCCACCCTAAGGCCGGCACTTATTGCACTTAAAATTAGTTATAAAAATATATTGATATGTGTTTATGTGAGTGAGTTTGTGTGTATTTTTTTAAAATATATTTTATTGAGAAAAAAATACATTTTGTCTAAATTAAGGGCATTGAGTATTTAGGATGAATGAAACATAAACATACCATATATACAATAAAAGAAAAACAAGATTATAACAAAACAAAATAAAATAAACCTTGGAGTAACAGAATAAATCAAACATGATACAACATTTAATAAAAAAATAAATAAATAAAAACACATTCAAACTTATTTACAATGGGAGCTCCGAATCGGGCCTTTCCCCCACGTGTGGAGGATAAGGCAAGACTCCAAGAAATCCCAGCGCTTCTCTCTCAGCCGCATCAATAGGATGGGAATCCAGTGGAGACTAAGAGAGGATACTAAAGCCACATACGCACATGACTTGAGTGGAGAAGCTGGACTCCAACGACGTCTTTACAAAAGATCTCGAGGCCACTGCCGCTCCAACCTTCGAGGTGGATTGTAGGGATGAATGGGACTAGATAAGGATTGTGCTAAAGGATTAGGATGATGGATTAGGTCCTGATGAAAATTTGAAAATCGGGATGGAATAATGTCAAGGACATAAGAGATGTTAAGGTCATGATGTAAGGTTTAGTTCGTAACATAATAAGGAGCATTAACGGAGGGCTTTCGACTGGAAGGATTGGATGCGTTTGATGTTCAAAAATTTAGTTGTCCCCCACTGTTCAAGTCCGTAGGTCCAGATGGGTTTCAGTTGTGTGTATTAGCTCTGAAGATAGCAAAAGTTTGAGTGGTTAGATATTAACTGTTTTTGGAAAATAAAACCTTTATATTCAAATCATCTGATAATATTTTATTAATAAAGTTGGTCTTTTTCTTCTTCTATATGATTTTGTTTATTAAAAAATGAATTCATACCGAGTATATCAAGTGTTTGTCAATGTCGAAGAATCTATTCGCTGTCCATCGCAATTCTTTCACATGCTCAAAATGTAAATAAATTTCTTCCTGAAACAAAATTGAAGTTATATTCTATTATAATTGTTATTATAAATATCGATAACTAATTTGATGTTGTAATTACTTACAATGTCTGGTATATCCTTACGTTCTTCTTTTATCAATTCATTGTACAAGGTGTTGTTGAACATAGTCCCCTAGAATGTTATCAATACATTTATAGAAAATCTAAAATTTTAATACTAATTTTAGTTATTCAATAAACTTATTTAAATTTGTAAGCATACATAGAAAGGTGTGTTTTTATTTGAATTTGTCATCAATTACCTTCGATGCAACACTACTTCCAGCAAGTATTAGTTGAAGTAAAAACCAAAGATCACCTGCCGCTGTCAGAACACCATTTAAAATTTGGATAGGTGAAGATAAACTGCCATTAAAGTATTGATATAACTGATGAAGTATGGTAACGAAAAATGTAGTGATTATGAAGAACATACCCATGTCGTAACAACCATTCAAATTTTCAAGACAATCCTCTATTAGATTATAAACTCTTGTACGTAAGGTGTAGTATTTGTTCATTTCGATAGAGGGGAACACACTGATCTGCTGCAAACAATATTTGAACAGATCACAGAAAGCGAACATTTGGTTAATGAACACTGCTATTAGGACTGTTTCGAAATGTTCTTCCATCCAAAAACCAGCATGATCACATATTGATTGAGCTAATATAACGCATATGCTGATTAATGTGTTCAACGAGTATTTCAATGGATGCAGGGCCATGATTGGCTCCTTGTTCAGTAATGCTATTTCAGAATCAATCCTTTTTAAATTGTTTAATATTGATCTAAATTTTTCTCGTTCTAAAACGAGTTGTAAACTAATTAAAATACAGGTAAATGTGGTTGATATCTTGCGAAAAATGTGTAGGTATTTATGGTAAACAGGAATGTATTGATTTAAAACTCTTTCCCCGCTTATTATCCAATAAACGCTGTGAACACTCAACACGAAGAGGACAACGGCTGGAGCAATAGATAATTTAAGCGAAAATCGACAATCATCACTGAGTGGGAACATGGCGACCATCCTGCTGATATGAAATATCTTTTTGCAGGCATCTTCTAAGCTTTTGAACTTAATAGACCAAATCATGTAGACTGCCTTCAGCTGAACTATATAGAGCATAGAGTAGTCAGAATGGAATGAATTGATTATTTTTAATGGGTTTCATCTCTAAGAAAATTGTGTTGACGTAAAGCAACACTCCCATATTAAGAAATAGATGAATCGCTCTACGTGACATGGCTTTGTTTTCTCTCCTTCTTTATATTTATTGTATTTATCGATTTAAGTATATTTGTCTAAACATTTCATACCACTTGTCATATTAAATCTCCTAACAGATATTTATCTTCTAAAAATACTTTTTATAGTATATTGTATATATATTTCACAGTAATTCCAAAGTGATAAGATCCCTGAATGCTCTAAAGTTACAAGTTTCACAAGTAAATAAATTTTACAGTCAGCAAATTGGACTATTTAATTGTTAAAATTTATATTAAAATGTAAAACTCTTGAGTCTATAGTAATTACAATAAATATTTTCAATATAATTTGTTAAAGGTTGTCATGTCACAACATAAGAACACACCCACTCTTAATGACACCTGCCAAAAATCAGTTTATGTCAATTTTTTTTAAAAAATATTTATTCATGGTATTTAAAACTGTATTAAATTAAAGAAACACCTAGTAAATGTACACACAGTAATAATACAATCACATGAAAACGCTTGTTGAGAAACTA